CCATTTTTCTACACGTAGAATGATGTGCTACTACTAGGAGCAGAACATGGATCTGAAAATCTCAATGGCATAATCACACATTCTCGGATTTGAAGCCTTTTTATCCTTGTTATGCCCCCTAAAAGTAGCACCTGCTTATCTTGTGACAAAAATCATGCTTTGATGCCTATTATGGACCGATTAGGACTATTTTCAAGGTTCGAATACTAAGCGGAGAGTTTAGGAGCAACATCAAATGAAGAGCATAGTTTTATGGGATCTAAGTGAAATTTTCTCAAATTGATATAATTAAAAGTTTAAGGGGCATTTTGAAACTGGAGTCAAAATTAAAGGTCCGTTTATGAAATTTACTTGGAAAAATTATTTTGATCCAAAAGACAACTCAGTCTGTTATGCACTCTTATTTCATCTTTTTCTCCTATTTTATTAATGTTTGTGATTGGTCAGAATAATATACTAACATAAATAATGCGAAGTTGACGAAAATAAAGTAATTAAATTTGTGACGTAATATGACAGTCTTAACGATGTAATTTGACCAAAAAAATAAGTATATTAACATCGCATCATTTAATCTTACCAATTTTTTTCAGCATTGCTCATCCATATAAATAGACTAAAGAATAGAAAAATACCAATAAGTCTTACTTTTAACCACTAAAAATCATTAAGTCCTATCGTATTTTACTTAGTACAATGAAGTCCTATTTTTGATTATTATTCTCCGGGAGTTGTAAACTTCATTAATAATATGTTTTGTTCCAATTTTATCCTTTCTTTAAATACACCAATTACAGTTTTACTAATAATTTGTGTTAGTAGTGTCCCAAAGGAAATTAAATTATTTTCCCTAATTAGTGCATAACATTAGAAACAGATAATTAACAATAAATATTTCTAAAATTGATAAAGTAAACAAGTCTATTTATTTTTATATTTACTGGTGTTAAGCATATGAATTTCAACTCACCTCAGTAAACCTCAACCATAAAGAGATACATTACATAAATCAATGATGCAGAAATTAAAATATAAATGCAATCACTAAGCCATATTCATCAAATTACACTTTTTTTTGTCTTATTCAACATCTGAATTCCTAATTACTATTTTTAAGGTATATTAGAAAAAAAAAAAAAATTCAAGTACTCGACGCTATAACAATATGTTGAATCTTGGAAATATACCATATGTCGTTTCTTTCTTCTATTAAACACAGCACAATTTGATCACCGATACTCATCATCGAAATTCATCAAATGTGAAGATTGCATGGGACCTACCACGTTTAATTTTACATCACCCTAGTTATTAACGACTGTTAGAAGTTTATCAAAAAGTTGTTTCACTTGATACTTGAATTATATTATTTTTTTTACTTTACCCTAATACATTAGCAATTCTGTCTAAAAAAATAGCGATCATTTTCTTAGGCAATGTGAAATAATTCAAAATAGTTAAGGAGACTTAATTTAAGGGATAAAGTGAAATAGAATCCATAATTTAGTTGGTCAAAGTGTAAATTGCTCATTTAAAACCTGAAATTATCATAGTTGTTAGGTTAGTGACGAGGTATTAGATTAGATAACATTTTCCTTCCATAACGAATTGCCTACCTGCCACGTTTCATCACCCCCTTCATAGAATAGGAATAGACCCAGTCCCCACCCAATCTTTTTCTCCCGGATTTCATTCATTACTGTGCCAAACGATAAATTTTCAGTATTGTATTTTTTTTTATTCAAAAAATTATGATTTGTTGAATGTGACAATTAATTAAAATAAATTAAGGTTAATTACACTAAAAGTCCCTGAAATATATAATTTATTTCATTTTGATTCCCAATATTTCCTTGATGGAATACATAAAAATATATTAAATACTTCAAAGGATATAATTGAAATATTAAGGACTAAAATGAGATAAACTCTATACTTTGAGGACCTCCAGTACAATTAACCTAAAAAATTAATAAAATATATTTTTTGGTATTTCATACCAATATACCTACCGTCATTACAAGTTTTATAATATTTTGAAAAAATTTTATTCACACCCCCTATAGTTAATCATATCTTTAAAGACACCCCCAGTAGATTCTAAAACTTCACTGTCACCCCTTCTTGTTTGTATTGTCTCTTCACTTACACCCTTGTACTTAACGGTCCATTTCTATACTACAAAAAGTGGATAACATGACTTAAATTTTTTATAAAATTACCCTTTTATGTATAAATGGACTATGCCATCATTTACACAACTTACAATTATGATTATTCTGTAGGATTAATGTTGAATTCATCATAATTTGTTAGACTATTTTAATTTACTGTACATCAACTTGAAGTCATTCATAATATATTGATCATCAAAATGTTATTAGCATTGCGTTACTTTACACCTGAGCTTTACAAAAATTATATCCCTGGGATCATAGTCAAACTACACAAAAAAAGCATAGCCAACAATCAAGTCACTTTACACATGAGCTTTAACAAAATTATTTCCCTAGGATCATAGTCAAACTATGCAAAAATTACACAAAAATGCCCAATCAACAGTCAAAATACACAGTCGAGTCAGCAGCTTATGCTTCCCCACAGCCTTGGACAAGCCTAGTTTATTCCCTTTAGTGGTTGCCTACAATTCAAGGAACATTACTTAGTACTTAATTACAATATAGTAAAAATTACAATAAACTAGAAATTATAATCATAATCACCATAATGTTATAGACTAAAAATTATATCTGCTCATCACAATTCTGAGTTATGGTCATTCCTTGAGTTGTTGATTGTTGAGCCACTTCACCACCAACTTGTCCTTTAACCTTCGAACCCTTGACGGGTGCCCGTTCACATGACTTTCTATTATGCCCAAACTCTTTGCATATGCTGCATTTCACACTTAGGCACCTTCTAGTAGCACTAGTCCCACCTGCAGGTTCATTTGCCTCCCTACACCTATTTATTTTGGGTCTACCTGGTAATCTCCTAAGAGGAGGAGGGGCTAAAGGATCACCAATAGTTGGTGGCCATTTCCTTTGGTCTTGAAGCGCGTGAATCATTTGTTCATGAGCCTTAAGAAAAACATCTGTCTTGAAGAAGTCATGACAGTATTCTTCAATATTCAACCTCTTGTAAACAATTGCCTGTTCTGCATGCCTACATGGTATACCTGAAATACTACAAGCCATGCAATCACATGTTCTTTGATCAAGTCTTACTACATATCTCACTCCAGTATCCATAATCTCATAGTTAAACCCACCAGCATGCAAGACAGAACATTTCCTTGATTTTCCAATGATTTTGTTAAGTTTTTTCCTTATGCTGTCTGTGATCAACCCTTCTCAAGTGCTGCCCCTATCATGTCTCTATTGAATCCTAATCATGAACTTAGTTCTTATCCCGTCTAGAAGTGTAAGTATTGATTTCAACCTTAGTGATCCTACCCAACTACTGAAAGATTATGTCATGTTATTAGTCACTTGGTCACTCTTAATCTGACAATCTAAAGCATGCCTTCAAATACCAAACCATACTCAAATAAAACAGTTTTAATATTGCATCTAATCTCGCCTTCAAACAATTAAAACCTCTTTCTTTGGAAAAAAAATATATAACTTAGAAAAAATATTAGATAGCTTTGGATCAACAAAACCACAAGTAAATCATAAACGGTTGGCATGACATGTAATGAAACTAGTATAAAAAATCACATGAGTGCAACAAAAAAGTTAACTGGTAGGAGTAAAAATAGGAATAAGATTCATTGCTCTTTTATTATTCTATAACCTGACAAAAGATAATGGAATAAGACTCCTAGCAAGCTAAAGAACCAAAATATTGGACCAGGATATAAATGATTATCACTAAACACCAATGGTCTAACATACCCATTTCTTGTAGGTTTCTATATCAAAAAGTCAAGGATTTCTGTACAAAAGAATAGGGGGTTTTGTACAACAAAAATTAGAGTAAATTTCAATGTTTTTTTGTACAAAAAATAGGGTAAAATTCACTTTTTTTTCGTACAAAAAATTTAGGGTTTGTTCATACCTATTGATCGATCGATGATGTCGAGCCTCTTATCATTCGATCATTTTCGACTCCAAGGATTCGAACGGTAATCAAGTAGAAGATTACATACTTTCAGAGAACAAGCAATCAAGCAATTGGATCTCCTCTTCGTCAATCCCCCCTCTCTCTCTCTGACTCTCACTCTCTCTCTCTGTGAACCAGAAGGCAAAAATCGAGTGGCTAAACTCACTCTAATTCTTGACCAAAAAAAAAAAAAAAATTCACTCTAGTTGCTTTATTTTTATATGTCTAGTTAGTATATCAACTCAAGGTTAAACACAAGTTAGTTATATATGTATAATGTAATATATGATAAAAATATATATAGATACATATTATAGATATAAAATATTTCACGGGCATTTTAGTAAATTTATTATCTCTGTTAACGCCGTCAACCATAAACAACTGACAAGGGGTGGCAATAAAATTTCAAAATTTATAGGGGATATCTCTGAAGATATGATTACCTACAGGGGGTGTGAATAAAATTTTTCATAATTTTTTTAATACATTTTGAAATAACTTTGAATTGATCTTAAAATTATTAATTATCCCACAAAAATTATCACTTGATTGCGAACAAATTTAAAAACTTGTAGCTTAAATTTGAAGTTACAAAACTCGTACAATTTGGTAACCAAAGTCTTCTTCTCCGGTGCCTATCATTTTCTCCTCCCATTATGTTCCTGCCCAAAACCCCAAGACCAAGATCAGTCCAGAGAACTTTCCAAGTTCTGCTGTGCTCCGCCGCCTCCGTTTATCCAATCCAAGTTCGACTCCGCCATTCTACGCCCGCAGTACTGCCTCGTTTAAAAACTCGAACCAGTCATCACCCAAAAAACCCACAAATTCAAACACCAACAAAACCCAAATTCATCTGAATTATTTTGGTTTCTCTCTCCACACCCACACCCATGTGTAAATCCAAGAAAATGAGCACTCAAGTTATCGAACCCAAAACCATGGCGTCTCAATCCCCAAAACCACTCTCATCAAACAGAATCTCCGAAACCTCTGGATCTCACTCATCTTCGGAGAAAATCTCCGAACCCTCTCGATCTCACGCATCTTCAAAGAAAATCTCCGGACCATCTCGTTCTTACCCATCTTCGTTCGAACCTTCAACGAGCGTAAACTACACGGCGACTGGTTCAAGCTACAATGTCCAAGACTCATGGATATCTTCTGTATCAAGCCGAACCTCCTTATCAAGCCTACGCGAAACCCTATCAGAAAACCCTCATATTTACGACTTCTCCGAGATCAGCTCAGCCACAAACAACTTCTTAGCCAAACGCTACTCTTCGTCCTCATCCTCTGCTTCATGGCGTTGTACGATTCGCGGCAATGATGTGATCGTTTTCCAGAGGAAGTTTCGCCGTCAAATTGAAGTATCAGAGCTCCGAGAACGGTTGTTATCAATTTGTAAGAGTCATCACACCAGCTTAGTCAAGCTCAAAGGGGCTTCCATCTCTGGAAATTATATCTACCTTGTGTATGATTATGTTTTTGGTGCGAATTTGTCTGATTGTTTGAGAAACCCTCAAAACCCTAATTTCACGGTTCTTTCGAATTGGATGTCTCGGATCCAGATTGCAATTGATATATCCCACGGTCTTGATTACATTCACAATTCTACTGGATTGAATTTGAATTTCGTTCATAATCATATAAAGAGTTCGAGCATTATCGTGACTGAACCGTCGTTGAAAGCGAAAATATGCGATTTTGGGACATCGGAGCTTTGCGGAGAAATTGTAAGAAACGAAGAAGCTGAAATGGCGAAAGATTCGCCGCGTTCCGGGACAAAACGGTTGGGCGTCAAGAGATCGGACAGTCGAGAATTGAAATTCGAAGGGACGAGAGGGTACATGTCACCGGAATTTCTGACCAGTGGGGTTGCGACTCAAAAGTCCGACGTCTTCGCATTTGGGATTGTGATTCTGGAGTTGTTGTCCGGCCAAGAGCCATTGAAATACAAGTTTGACGATATGGGAGGTGGGTATACGAGAGTTTCGTTGATCGACACGGTGAGAGAGGTGGTGGAAGGCGGAGAAGGTGGTGGGGTGAGGAGGTGGGTGGACAAGAGGTTGAAGGATTCGTATCCGGTGGAAGTGGCGGAGAAGATGGCACGAGTGGGATTGGAGTGTGTGGGGGATGATCCGGATAGAAGGCCGGATATGGGTCGGGTTCAAGGTCAGATATCAAAGCTGTATTCGGAGTCGAAGAATTGGGCAGATAAGATGGGTGTTCCCACTGATTTCAGTGTGTCATTAGCCCCTAGGTGACAGACATCCAACAACATTTTTTATTTTCCATATTGTTTTGTTTTAGGCTTGTTTATTTTTGTTTTGACCCCATAGAAATCTTTTTTTATTTTCTGTGTTTATATAAAACCATTCATATACCTGTCACCATTTGACAGTTATTTTCTTTACCTGTAAATAAATTCATATTTCATAATTTTATATTTTTTTTAAATATCTCTACGCATTTCACCGCTCCATGTGAAATTCGTCTACCCTATAGCTTTCATCGCTATTTCAAATTGAGCCTTAGATTTGACGGAGTAATTAAAAAGCTATGTGTGGGTGTTTTATGCTTTTGAATAACATTTGTATTTAGATGTAAAATAATTTTTCATTTTTTCTTTTATTTGGTGGTTGGTTTATTGGGTTTATTTTATTTTTCATTGCTAAACAATTTTGAGGATATTTGAATTATCAAATGTTTTACGCTCAAACTGTTTGACATGTATTGAAATTTGAACATTAAATAAAACTAAACTATTTGATATTTAAGAAAACTAATGTTTGAAGTTTTTAAAGACAGCTTTACCCTTTCACTAGTGGAGGTACTATTTTATATGTATATACTTAGAGAAAGGTTGTTGCCATAACCAATGTGATTTACTTGACATGACCTTTAAATCAAACAATATTGTGTGATGCATAATGTATTATGACAAAATTCATTACTGATAAAGTCCCTGAAATTAGATCCCATCTTCATAATCTAGAGTATCACTTTAGTCTCGTTTGGTAACGTTTATGTTTTTCTTTTTTATTTTGATATTTAGAGAAAACAAAAAAAAAACTCGTTTGATAATTGTTTTTATTTTTATTTTTCTGTCATCGTTTTGTAAACGAGGGATTGATTTTCAAAACAAGAAAAAGACGTTTTTTATTTTTTGATTCTGTTTTTTATTTTTTAGAAAATAAAAAACTGTAAACTTTACCAAACGAGTCATTTGTTTTTCATTTTTTCATGATTCTTCACAAATCATGACTTTTTAATCAAGTGGTAACTGAAATGAACAATAAATTCAGATGTCTCGTGTTCGATTCTTGGCAATTCATTGGGGTCGAGTCATGAGAGATTTATTTTTCATTAATATCCTAATTCTAGTGTGAATAACCTATTTTAAATTAGACTAAAAATGAGATTAGTTGAAATACATGTAAATTGGGTCAGACATCCGACCGTTGAAAAAAAGAGAGGAATACTTTTTCCTCTTTGGTACAGTTTCTCTTCTCCGCTTGCACGGGAAGTTCTCTCCAATAAAGGTTAACCATCCACACTATCAGCTACAAGAACGATTCTCTTGCCCGAGGCGGTACTTAATCTATTTAGTGGAGATTTGATGAGATTTTTTTGAAAAACTCCATGATGAAGACACGTGTCTTCGGTATTACCAAAACACTGTTGCTAAGATCAAGCACCATCGGCTCACAAAGGTCCCTCGCTCCCGAGGTACTCGTCATATGGGATCATGGCATTCAGTACGTTTTACAACCGACACGTAGCCTCGGTCTGATATGGTGCCTCGGTCGGTATACCTCCTTCGGTTCGGAGATGTGCCTTTCCTCGGTGCCGAGAGGTACCCTGTCCTGGACGCCTCCTCTACTCCAGAATAAGCTATTGACGTACAGGTCATTAGCCTAGGCTGGTCTAGGCTATTCATCATGACCTCGTCTTACACAATTGGTGTCAGAACGCACAAGAATGCAGGGGCCACAGCCAATGGGGGATGGACGCGTGGCATATGATGTCACATCAAAGACAGAAAAACCGCATGTCGTTGCTGACACGCGACTTGGGAAAACAAACGATTAATTACATCATTCCCTTGACGAGACTGCATTCAATGCGGTAAGGCTCGGAAATGAAAGACAATAAATGTTCCTAATACAGAGCATTTATTGCATCCTCCCCGAGAGGAGTTCATTGTACCGTCGGCATCCCGATGACGCAACATTGATTGCTCAGGACCCCGAGCAGTTAAGAAGAGAAGACATTCCTCATCAGAATCAGTGCGCACACTGTTTGTACCTAATGATCACCTACTGACTACACTGACAGCAATCATGAGCTTTTGAGGTATAAATACTCCTCGCAAAAGGCAAGACGGTACGCAAGAAAAAACCTTTTGCTACAATACACACTCAGTGTTTTCTTCTTCCTCTCTCTCTCAAAGACTGACTAGATCGTCAGAGGGGATACGCCGAAAAACACTCCGGCGCCCTTCTAACTTGTTCTTCTTTGTTCCAGGAACCTTTCTTTCAGCCTTACTGGATCGTTCTTCCGCTCCCCCAGGGTCTCCCGTTGCCGTTCCAGGTTACCACCGGACCTCGCAGGCTGTTCCAAGCAGCGTGGTTGGCCACTCAACTGACTCACTCGAGTTCACCAAGGGAGAGATTTGTTCTCGTTTTTATATTGTGCAGGATCGTGCACGCACGATCTGGCGCCATCTGTGGGAAACGACTAGTTTTCCTAGTTTTTTCTCTATAAAGAACAGTGACCATGGTGAACACTCGACAGAAAGGGAAAGACCCCCACCAAAGGAGTCTCGAATTACAAGCTCCCTGTCACCACGGAGGGAGGGATCACACCGATATGAATAAAAGTGCCTCTACTCAGTCAAGAGGGGTTACCCCTCAAACCAGTATGGGAATCAGGTCAGGGGGATCAGCCCCCTTGGCTCGTCAGTTGGCGGAGGTGATTGAAGAAAAGTTTGGCGATAGATTACGACAGCTGGAAAAGGACAATGTAAACGTCCTAAGCCGGCTCAACGAGTTTGCCGCCTCCGGCGAAGGGTCGAGGGATTCATTCCTTTCTCGTGGGCTTCCCGCCCGGTAGGCAGAAACGAAGGATCTAAGAAACCACCTAAACAACAAAGCAGAAAGCTCTAGGGCCCCAAAGCGACCCAGAGCCAGCGAGCATCATCATGACGACCATTCAAGGAAGGCAAGGCCATTGGCCCTAGACGACCTCCGGCGAGGTTTGTCTAGACGGAGGAAGGGAGATGAATCCGAGGAGGATTTAACCCAATCCACACGACGCCCAGGAAATGAGGGGCCTACCGATGAACTCAAGGACTTCAGAAGACATCTCGTCAGGGAGGAAATTGATCTCAGAGCCCGGTTGGAATCCAAGAGAAAGGGTAAGGCTGTCCAGGATGAGGCCAAAGACGAAGTCATACAAACACCCTTTACGAGGGAGATCGGTGAGATGGAGGTTTCAAGAAAGTTTGTTGTGCCGCGGTTCAAAACTTATGACGGGCGGTCCGATCCCGAAGCCCATGTCAGGCAATACAAACAGATGATGTCCCTCTATCATTCGGACCAACGGTTTCTCTGTCGAGTGTTTCCTATAAGCTTGGGGGACTCTGCGATGAAGTGGTTCGAGGCGCTTCCCCCCAACAGTATTGGGTCGTGGAAGGAATTGACGAAGCAGTTCCTGGCTCGATTCATTACAGGGAGTAAGCGCCCCAAAGACGTTGGATCATTGCTGACCCTCAGACGTAGGGAATTCGAGACTCTTCGTCAGTATGCCATCCGATATTGGGAAGAGGTTAATGAGGTAGAAGGCTGCTCGGAAGTCATGGCAGCAGCATCTTTCCGGCTCGGCTTGGCAAGGGACACGGACCTGTACCGATCCCTGACCAAGAAGACTCCCTCGGATATGGGGAAACTGATGGCCCGGATAAACAAATACTCGAGGGTTGAGGACGAGATGGGAAACAGCAAAGGCCGAGCCCTCTAATCTAAGAGAAAAGAGAGGGAGCGGGAAGATATTCCCCGAAAGGGATTGCTACCCCCTCCAGGGGGTTCGTCCAAAGGAGTTCACACTGTGTTCAAGGAACCCATCTTCAAGTTGCTCCATAAGATCAAGCACGAGCCGTTCTTCAAATGGCCGCCCAGGATGCAGAGCGACCCCTCCATCCGTGATCAAAAGGTTAGGTGTTCCTATCACCGGAATTTCGGGCATCGCACCGAAAGCTGCAGGGTGTACAAATCGTTCTTGGAAAGATTGGTCCGAGACGGATACTTGAAAGAATACATAGAGCCCAGGCCAGAAGAGAGACAAGCCATTGCCCCGACTGAGGAGCCGGACAACATCATAGATGTCATCCATATATGTCCCCTGGATCGCCCCACGTCCAAGGAACTCGAGTCCGACCTCAAGAGGGTAGCTTTTACGAGGAAGGTAGCCGAGGTTGATGTAGGGCCACCTAGTAAAAGGGCCAGGACGGGTGAGCTTGGCATTACATTCTCCGACGCGGACTTGACAGGCGTAGTGACTCCTCATAACGACGCCCTTGTCTTGACCCTGAGGATAGAAAAATTCGACGTCAAAAGGGTGTTGATAGACTCTGGAAGTTCCTCGGAAATGATGTACTCCGAGACTTTAAAACAGATGGGTCTTGGCCTTAAAGACCTCACCAAAGTCAGGACACCCGTCATCGGATTCAACGGCTCGTTCGCCCTGCCCGTGGGGAAAATCACATTGCCAGTTGTCACGGGTCCCTTCGTCATCAACACCGAGTTTGTCGTGATCGATACGGACTCTCCCTACAACGTGATCATGGGGCGAACATGGCTGCATGCGTTGGGAGCGGTGCACTCCACTTTCCACCAGAAATTAAAATTTACCACGCCAGAAGGTATCATGGAGATCCGGGGGGACCAAGCGTCCGCGAAAAATTGTTTTTATTCAGCCGTTCGAGCCGGGGCGTTCAGCCAGGAGAAGGGGCGAGCACCGGAAGAGATTATGGAAAAATAGCAATCACAGTCCGGGCGTCCAGGAATGGATGACTCCCGGATAGACCCAACTGAGCGGTCGGTAGAAGACCTCCGGAAGGTGCCCTTGGTGGAGGGAGAAGAAGAGAGATATTTCTTAGTTGGGACCTCGATGCCCACAGTTGAACAGGAGGAGATGATCGAGTTCCTAAGGGGAAATACAGACGTGTTCGCGTGGAACGAAATGGAAATGACGGGGGTAGACC